TGACTGCTTACAAGTTGTGCCGGAAGTCAATTAAAAAAATTCTTAGAAAGGCTTGTTTATCGAGCACAGGATTGCTTGCCATATAATCGAAATGGGGTAGTCCTTTCAATCCGGTTGGTACGACCTTAACAGAATGTTGCTTTTTCAGAGCCACGCGACACAATTTTACCCCTTTTTTGAATTCAAAGCGTATAGTGACGGAAGAAACACTTCTCAGGGTAAACTGGGATTAAATTCGCTTAGCATTACGCTTTGAACACCCCAATCGAGTTCTTAACTCTAATGGTTAGCACCCTAGGTCACCCTTTCCACTTGATTCTTGGACGAAGGGGGGCAAAGACCGATATTTAAAATTTCTCGGAAATACTTGTTTACTAGGTGGTACGTTTCTCAAGTACTAAACAAGTCACTCACGTGGTCCACGTGTGATTCTTGGAAAAACGTCAAAGGACGGTCTTCCTTCATATCTAAATACAAAACTAAAAAAATTCATAGCTCCACTGGGCCTTATTTTGTTACATCCGTGTATATGCTTCTGTGTGACAATGAAAATAAAATGTTTGGTATACCAAGAAAAACCGCAAATTGACTGCTTAGTTGATTGCCGAGGTGGACTGAAACAGTGAAAAAGTGAAGGAGCTATTTTCTAAACTCTGTAACCTCAAGGGGTGTTTAAATAGAAACACATTACCCAAAAATTTGTTTTTAAACCACGTTTTCTCACTCTTTTGCCAAGCCTAACAATTACATGCAACAATCAAGTTTTCCACAGAATCTTATTTTATCTCAAGATACATATATTACTTTTAAAAATAAACCAACCAAAGGAACGAGCCCCTTAGCCAGCTGCGTGAATGTGCAAAACAATTTAATCAATATAAGAGTTATTCAGTTAATTTCTCCACTTATTTCAATCCCAACTTATAAATGAAATGCTTGTGCTGATTTTCTTGTTTAAATGCTTCTAATTGTTCTGGTTAGCACGCTTGTCTGCAGTAGATTGAGCACGAGAAGAAAAGCTTCCTTTTGGCACTCCACCACCATGTTGTTTCGCCTCAGAGCTCTGAATACGGGCGGCTGCATCTTGTGTCATCGGGTTCTTCGGTTCTCCACCGGACTGCGATCCAGGTTTGTCCATTTTGTCGATATTCCCAGCAACTCTGTTCTTCTGTGCAGAAAAAAAAACAGACATCAAAACAATTCACCGTTAAGTTTTCAGTTCTGTAGTGAAGGCGGCGCTGCGCGACAAACGTAGACTAGTGTAGACTGGCAGATAAACGAAGTAAACATTGTTGTAGAATGCTCTAACAGATTCCCTATCTCTAAACTACACTTTAAATGACTTAAACTTTAGGGATAGGGACTCTGTTAAAGCATTCCACAACAAACTTTTCCTCGTTAACCTGCCAGTCTGCAAGTCTGCAGTCTGCGTTTGTCGCATTTCTACATGTCCGAATTTAATATCGATAATTTTTAACTCCAACCCTACATACCTACGAGGCATTCCATATCGGAGCCTCACTTGAAATATAACATTTCTGTTATTCAGTATAGCCAATGACCATGGTGTTGCCTTAAATCTACCTTTTTTATCCTGGGCTAAAAGTGGTTCATCTGAAAGGATAAGTTATCTCCTATTACCCTGTAGTGTAGTTGACCAATTTATTGTGTTTCTTCAATCTGCATAAATTCACTGAAGACTATAAAATGATCGGTACCTGTTTTTCAAAGTCAGTTCTTTGTCTCCTTTTCTAGATTTTATGTTCTTATTAATATCCTTATATATAGCCCTGAAAAAAGGGAGTATTGGCTCCAACAACAACTTAGATATGAAATCGCCTCTTTCAACACCGAACACCGAATGACTGTGCAAGATTAGTGATTAAAAAAAATAGTGAATCTAGACACTATGCAGGGAAACCATCGAGGAACTTGATTCACTTAAACATGTAGTTTTCTGACCCTAATTTAATCACTAAAACTTGGGAGTGATTAGGCATTCGCTGCTGGTTTGAAATCCAACTGTACCTGCTTTAATCAGCATTTTCACATTGACTACAACGAGTAGACAAAAACACTTCGGTCTTCACCTTGTAACATTAGGCAAACTAATGTTTTTTTTAAGAACGCGTATGCTGCAATACATTGAAGATTATTCCAGTTTTTAACACTTCTGAAATCAAGTTTACGAAAGTGTATTGTACTATCACCGCCGTAGCCAGTATGAGGTGAACCGAGGCACTCGCCTCGGTAAAATTTTACCAGATACTGTCGATTTTTATTTTTTTTATCAGACTGATAATATTAGAAGATTTCATACGGCTGATTTCGTACAACGGACCGTGTGTTCGCCTCGGTTGTAGTTTCTTCCTGGCTACGGCCCTGACTATTCTTCCAGTTGCGTGTAGGAGCCCATGGCGGCCATGACTGCATGGATCCTCGATGAAAATACGATTCGATTAAGTCCTACATACACATCTCAATAACATGAACATGTTTGAATAAAACGAACAAGGGTTGAAGTACCTCTAACAAGTTGAGTTAAGCTGTGTTCTTCGACTTGTTTCCTTCGTAAAATCTTCACTGTGCTGCGTCGGTTGAATCTTTAGGAAGGCCTGCTACGTTTTTCTACGGTTATATTATCTCTTTCCGAGAAACGCTACGTCATCATACAATTATAACTTTTCTTAGAAAGGATCGGGCTTCTTGGAAATCTACGGGGTGGCAGAGCTGAACAACGTCTGCGCATGTGCATAGACGGGAGAGGTCTGGGATCTAACCTAGTATCGTTTTCAAAGGGTTTTTCAAAACATCCTCACTTTTTGGCGATTATTAAGGTGGATTCTGAATATTTAAGGTTCTCATTTAAACTGAAGGTAGATTATTTCATACTTTATTGAATTCTCGTTTCTACCCTTGTAATTTTTCTTCTACTTTTTTCTATGAACAAAAGAAGACGCACGAACGAAGCGTCCCTTCAATAATAGTATCGTTTGCAAAGGATTTTTCAAAACATCCTCACTTTTTGGCGATTATTAAGGTGGTTTCTGAATATTCAAGGCTCCCATTTAAACTAAAGGTAGATTATTTCATACTTTATTTAATTCTCGTTTCTACCCTTGTAATTTTTCTTCTACTTTTTTCTATGAACAAAAGAAGATGCACGGACGAAGCCGAAAACAGTTCTTTCATTCGAATGTGTACATTTTCAAGCGTAAACACATGAAAGTACAGACTATCAATATGTTATCAGTTCTAAGAAATCGTCCGGACATCATATCAGTGTCAGTATTAAAGGTACATTTTATTTATCTTTGTTTTTCCTTGAATGATGGTCTTTTAGTTATTTCTCTTGTTATATCTCGCTTGGTTTCACTATAAGAACTGTAAGAACACAAAACAATCACTGAGGTTTCGAATTCAATCAAGTTCTTTCTTCCAAACTTGTTTTCCTTTATGACTCATTGTTAGCTCAGCTCAAAAGATCTATTATGAATTTTTGTATACGACAACAGGCAAAATTAATGTTGAAAAGAGTAAATGGGTAAGTAATACAGTCGATGCTTGCTGGTAAAAGTATTAATGACTTGAAGTTCTCTAAAAGGCTTCATTACAAGGAGAAGAACTTTCATTTATTTTTCTCTTCAAAGTCTAGATCTTCATTCCTTGATTCTTCTGCTTCATTCAATCCTGTCATAAATGGAAAACCTATAGTTAATACGAAAACTCACATAGAGCTGAGCCAACTTGTGATTGTTTCTCAAAACTTCAACGGCTTTAAACTTTAAAAGTTTATTCATTCTAAGCTTAAAGGTGCAAATTAAATTTTAAACAAACTTAACTGAATAAATACTGATTCTACAGCTCGACCAGCGCCTCTAAGCCGGCTAGAGGTAGGAAAAAGCTTCTTTCATTGCACTAAGATTTGTAACTAAGTTTATGACTTTCATGACTTCTTGTGTCTGATGGTATCATCGCGCTCAAAGCCGGCTTTCTTGCCACCAAGAAACGGTCAACAACTGCTATCGCTCGGCCTACATTTCAAAGATTTGCACCTCCTTAACCAGAATAAAGTAATGTTTAAGTAAATCGTTTACGTACCATCGAAGAAAAGTCGCCCAAACTCCAGCACATTGCTCTTTTTTAATTTCTCAGTCATCTTTCTGCAAACTTACTGACGATCTGCATCAAAACAATGAAAAACCTTCGCCGGGACGGTCAAAAACATTTTCCTTGATCCCTGGATTACGTAACATTTCTTTCCATGAGTTGCATTTCTAACGTATTCGTAGAATTTCTCCTTCGTTGGCATTCGCAAATATGAGTTTGGATGGTCGAAGATAAAATGGTCTTGCAAGAATTTCACTTTGCCCGAATGCTTCGCGCACGTGCTAGACAAGTAAACAAGTGATGTCAGGGACATGCGTAGTACGTTATTCAGCCCTGTCTACGGGGTGACACTCAGGCCACACTCAGGCGGGGTGCGTCACGACCCACAAAGGTTCATGGGAAAAACTGTTAGAGTACCTCATTTCAATCTTGACACGGTCGGGTACCCATCTCGTGAGAGAGATGAATCAAAACCCGGGATCTAAACTCTGCTTCCTTTTCTGAAAAACTTCCAATCCCGTTTCCTACACTGGGCGCATCAGGGGTTCAGGGCGGAAAAACGTTCTGCGCAAGCTTCTGCGCATCCTTTATCGCAGGCTCAAGGCGGGCTTTTCTGTGTGTTGACCCCTGTTGACTGTGTTCGACAGTTTGTTTGTTTGTCACTGAGAGAGTTCTGACTAAGACTGAATGAAATCCACAAGGTGTGAACGTTTGCTCCTCGAAAAGCCTTTTTACTTTTGTGTGGTTTTTGTTTTTCGTCACTTGAAAATTACTTTGGACTCGGAACAACCAATGTTAAAGGAAAAACGGATCATTCTGTCAGTCTGAGGTGGAATAAAGAGTTTTGAACATTTCCAAAGAGGCGAGTATTTTTTTTATTGTTCATTCGATTTATTTGTGAGTTGATTTCGCCTTCTTTCGCCCGGCTGAATTAAAACCCACTTTTTTTTAAAATTAGTAAATACTTTTTCACATGCCCAGATTTATTCCCTTTGTAGAACCAGCTTTATCCTTCTGTTCAGTCAAAGAATCATTTTGTGCGCCGTAAAACTTTCTCGGAAATACCGGTAGAAGGCCAGTCAACTGCCGGCAGTCACTTCAAAACAATTGACTCTGCCCGTAACACTGAATTGCTGGAGCTGGATTTGTCTGAAGCGAGCAAAACAAATACCCTTATGTGCAGTTTTCTGAATTTTGTAACGATTGGCTGAGTTTAATTTGCTTGAATGAAGACCCTCACAAGGACCAGTTATTCACTGAGTTATTAAAGCGAGGAGAAGAGCTACATGGTGAATCATGGTTTAGCTGCGAAGCTCACTGCAACTGATCTTTTGCTTTTAAGATCTTTAGGTACGTTGTTTTCGTACAAAAAATTCATTTCTTCATTGTCAGCAAGACGTTTTTGCAATAATGTAATTTTAACTTTGTTTGAAGGAAATATAATCCTACTTACGTGTAGGTTTTTGACAGATGTTATGCATTTTCAACTTGAAAACACAAAGCATAATTTATATTTATCTCTTAGTACGCGAAACGATCAAGTTTAAAAATAAACTATAGTTGCTTTAAAACCGATTTTTGGGAAGATTTTACTAGATAAAGATTGACCTTTTTTCTGCCCGCATATCAACGCAAAAACTTCTACATTGAGGATTTTGTTTATATTTTAGTTATCTGCGAAACTACGAGTGTCCGATCGAGCGAGGGTTTTAAAATATCAGCTCGAATGCGACAAGTTCAGTGCCTTCAAACACATTGTGGGCAAGCGTTAATTTTTTTGGGCAAATCACTGTCCAAAGATATGTTGTTTTTGTGTTCACAGTGGAGATCCGGACCTTATATATCCAGGAACTTCCTTATATGAACACATTTTGTGAATGCATCTTGAAAAAAATCGGACCTACGCAAGCACATTTCCAGTACAACGCAAGGAAATTGATGTCGTTAAAGTCCGTTTTACTATGAGGTATTCTTCGAGAAAATTAAGTAACGACAAGGTTATAACCACAGCTTGCAACTTTTGAAGACAAATTGCCTGTTCTTTCCAGGTTATGAGTGGAAACATCTTATTTTTAGGCAACAAAATATTTGAAATCCCGCCATTTTTTCAAACCCGGCCAGGGGATCTGGGCAAAAAAGTTCACGCATGCTCACTACGTTTTTCCGCCCTGAACATCAGGGGGCGCTGGCAGCGAGGTCTGGAACCGAGTTTACATGATCGCCCCTTCAGGGCGGAAAAACGTTCTGCGCAAGCTTCTGCGCATCCTTTATCGCAGGCTCAAGGCGGGCTTTTCTGTGTGTTGACTGTGCTACTCGACAGTTGACTAAGACTGAATGAAATGCACAAGGTGTGAACGTGTGCTCCTCGAAAAGCCTTTTTACTTTTGTGTGGTTTTTGTTTTTCGTCACTTGAAAATTACTTTGGACTCGGAACAACCAATGTTAAAGGAAAAACGGATCATTCCGTCAGTCTGAGGTGGAATAAAGAGTTTTGAACATTTCCAAAGAGGCGAGTATTTTTTTGATTGTTCATTCGATTTATTTGTGAGTTGATTTCGCAGACATTCCAACCCTCCCGATTTGATCGGGAGTCTCCCGATTTGATGTGTTGCCTCCCGCTCTCCCGATTTTTATCAGGTTCTCCCGATTTATCATAAAATTCTGAAAAGAAGAAAAAAATTGCTTATCTTATAAGTATTTTTTGCGATCTGAGTGTAAAACGTTACGTATTACACTTATTACACTTCTTTGCTGTTGTTAATCCATCTTTTCAGAATCTAAGACCTTAAAGAAAACCACAAAAATGATGTCAAAATGCAGGAAATGCCACTTGAGAGAAACTAAATTTGCAAAATTTCCTGGGGGGGCATGCCCCCAGACCCCCCTAGAAGCTCGCGCCATTGGCGCTCGTCTTAGCGCCTTTGGCGCTAATAGAGCCTCCCTATTTCTCCTCAAAAGGGGTTGGAATGTCTGATTTCGCCTTCTTTCGCCGGGCTGAATTAAAACCCACTTTTTTTTTAAATTAGTAAATACTTTTTCACATGCCCAGATTTATTCCCTCTGTAGAACCAGCTTTATCCTTCTCTTCAGTCAAAGAACCATTTTGTGCGCCGTAAAACTTTCTCGGAAATACCGGTAGAAGGCCAGTAAACTTACTCTAGAAGAAAAGAATCATTTTTCTGTTGCTCAAATACTATAAGTAGTCAGAGTTTTCTTCACTTTTAATTACATAGTTTTGTTTTCCACTGCACTGTGAAAGTTTCTGTTCTTTATAAGAAATAACTTTCTGTACGCAAATTTTCCATTTCACTCGCTGTGAAGTAGAGGACAACTGCCGGCAGTGACTTCAAAACAATTGACTCTGCCCGTAACACTGAATTGCTGGAGCTGGATTTGTCTGAAGCGAGCAAAACAAATACCCTTATGTGCAGTTTTCTGAATTTTGTAACGACTGGCTGAGTTTTTTTTTGCTTGAATGAAGACCCTCACATTGACCAGTTATTCACTGAGTTATTAAAGCGAGAAGAGCTACATGGTGAATCATAGTTTAGCTGCGAAGCTCACTGCGACTGATCTTTTGCTTTTAAGATCTTTAGGTAGGTTGTTTTCGTACAAAAAATTCATTTCTTCATTGTCAGCAAGAAGTTTTTGCAATAATGTAATTTTATCTTTGTTTGAAGGAAATCCTACTTACGTGTAGGTTTTTGACAGATGTTATGCATTTTCAATTTGACAACACAAAGCATAATTTATATTTATCTCTTAGTACGCGAAACGATCAAGTTTAAAAATAAACTATAGTTGCTTTAAAACCGATTTTTGGGAAGATTTTACTAGATAAAGATTGACCTTTTTTCTGCCCGCATATCAATGCAATAACTTCTACATTGAGGATTTTGTTTATATTTTAGTTATCTGCCAAACTACTAGTGTCCGATCGAGCGAGGGTTTTAAAATATCAGCTCGAGTGCGACAAGTTCAGTGCCTTCAAACACATTGTGGGCAAGGGTTAATTTTTTGGGGCAAATCACTATCCAAAGATATGTTGTTTTTGTGTCCACAGTGGAGCTCCGGACCTTATATATCCAGGAACTTCCTTATATGAACACATTTTGTGAATGCATCTTGAAAAAAATCGGAGCTACGCATGCACATTTCCAGTACAACGCAAGGAAATTGATGTCGTTAAAGTCCGTTTTACTATGAGGTATTCTTCGAGAAAATTAAGTAACGATAAGGTTATAACCACAGCTTGCAACTTTTGAAGACAAATTGCCTGTTCTTTCCAGGTTATGAGTGGAAACATCTTATTTTTAGACAATAAAATATTTGAAATCCCGCCATTTTTTCAAACCCGGCCAGGGGATCTGGGCAAAAAAGTTCACGCATGCTCATTACGTTTTTCCGCCCTGAAGATCGCCCCAGTTAAGAAATTCGGCCGAGTGAGACTGAGTACAAATTTTCCTTGAAAACAAATATGGCGGAGAATGCAGACATGGAAGGACGATGCGTTTTTGCTCGGTTTTAAGTTGTCCCGCGTACAAATATCAAGAGAACGTTTCTATGAACTTTTATAATGGACCTTTTGGACATCAGGAGGCGTGAAGTATGAAAAGTTCACGGGTGACTTCACTTAATCTCGGCAAGTTCAGTTATTTTTAAGGTTCGTGAATTTTCGAGCATCTTGCTCCATTTCTTATATTTTTTCCACTTACAGTGGTATTAAGACTCTCTTCCTTATCTTAAACATATGCTACGAGCACAATATATTGGTATGAGTCTTGCAACAGTCAAAGGTGAATGTTCATTAAACCACTGATTTTCTACTTCGCTGTTTGTACGTTTGTTTGTGTACACCGGGAGGCACAACAAATATTTATGGGCGTAAATACAGAATACGGGGCCAATTTAGTAAAAACCAGGGTATATGTTCCAATCACGTGCTTTGCATATACTGGGTCTGTCAGTATAAGCTATTTTTAATATCAAAAGGCTGCAGGGAGGGGTTTACTGAACCTTCAAAACCTTCACTGGAATGTCATTGGAGTGATAATCAATAAATTTCCAACAGCAATACCGTGTTCAGTAGGTTTGTATTAAATAGTGACTTCGGTTTCAAGTATTTCCTTGAAATTGGTGGTACAAAAATTACCCTTTAGTTATGAATTATACTTGAATGATTATGGTGGCTAAGTGTAAGAACAAGAGGCTAATTCAGTTGCTAATAGGAGTGAGTACATCAGGAAAGGGTATGCGTTGAGAAAATCGCTCAAAGGACTGAAGTACAAGAAACAGAAAAAAGAAAAGTGAATGTTTTGCAAAGTTTATAAAGAGAATCAGAAGAGGCTTGAAAATATACAACTTAAGTTTGTTTAAGTTATGAATCTGATTTACAACTAAATTATACTAGGTAAAATTGATTTTATATCAACCATCAAAAGAAGTTATTGTCGGGCTTGAGCCCTATCCTCTCAGCAGTTCTTTCTACGATACTACCCTTGGCTTATTTGGCCTAGATGGGTGGGTGCTGCTGATTTAGGGTGGTGACCATTTCACCCTTTAGAGTTTTGAACAAGGTGTCTGTTTGGGTTGTGAAGGTTGAAGAAGAAGTGGTCTATAGAGTACAGGCTATTGTTACCACCATTTCCCCCCCCAAGTTTTGCCATGTTTCTAAGTTTAAAAGCTACCTTAATTCTGTATGCTAAAGGAGATGAATCAGGATTATAAAATAATGTCTCTTGGCTTAAATCCATAATGTGTCCTACTACCCATACTCTCTTTCAGTGTAAGCCCAGGGAGGTGATCTCACATTTTAATTCCCTTTTACCACTTATTGTAACAGCAAAGTCAGTGAAGGCTTATGGTCTCTGAAAAATATTTTTGCCAGCCTCAACACAAGTTTCTAACTGTTATTGATGACTGCTACTAATAGTATCTTAATAACCATTTTCCATTTTTTTTCAAAGGCATCCTATGATGTTTTCAATATCCACTAGTACAAGGCAATTTTTAAGTTGAGAGGGTTTACTTTGATTTCATTAACAGTAAACTACATTTTTACACAGACTCAAACTAACCTGGTAGGTTGATGTCCGAAGGTGTAAAACATTACATGCAACTATATGGCAAAAACTGATCACAGTGGCCAAAGGAAAGGCAAAAATAGAAATGTCATCATTTTTTTAATTTTATAAATTCCCTTTGAAGCATATTTAGCCAGATGTAGTCCTTGTCAAAACATGCAAACTTGAACATTTATTTTCTGACCTTAGCTAATCTTTTTTAAACCATACTCTTGTTCCAGTGGGTAGTGTAGTTTTTGGAATAAAATATTTATAATTTCTCCCTCTTTGTTTGCAACAAAACAAAACACAATTGAATGAGGACTCAAACTGAAGGCAGTGTAGTAACTGCTGTCATGAAAAGAGAATTCCAAACACACCAAATAATTACCCTTTCATTTGCCTATATTCATTTCTTAGAAACTACGGTAAAGTTTAAATTAAATTACACAAAGATAAGAACTTGAGCATATCAAGAGTGAATGATCTCTTGGCAAAATTTATTTAGCTTCTATTACATAACAAAATACATGAACTACGAGATTTGACCACATGCCACTCAATCATCCAACGCAACTCTGCCAGGATAAGTTCACAATCAAGGATGAAGAATTAAGAATCTCAATCATCATTTCTTTTCGTCTTAAAGGTGTACTAAAACCGTAAACAACTCTGACAACTCTTCTATTTGACCACGGCTACCGCGCTCTTTTTAATGTCACGAAGGATTAATTTTCGGCCTTTCACTTGAAAATATAAACTCTTCTACATACGCATTGGAGGGTTGGCCCTTTTTCTAGTCTTGTGGGTCTTCTAAACAGAAACACAGCTTGAAAGCCTGTAGTGAGCCAAAAGGTCGGGCATCGAGGAACACGTACATGTACAATGACTGTTCACTGGTCTCGTTCTTAGCGTAGTAAACCGCATGTAATGACAAACGCAAGACCAGAAGAAAGGAAAACGTAAGCCCCACATTACTGCGGAAAAAATCGGTTACAGCAAAGAAAGCAATGACCAACAGGACCAAAAGCGAATTCACTTCACGCTGTTGAATCGCTGCGAAGACCGTTCCGCGCATGCTCGCTACAGTTCTCGAATGATTGACAGATTTCTTAACTGGGGCGATCATGGAAAGCCGAAAAGCGGCAAGATCAAAGGCCGTTGCCAGCCCCCGCTGGGGCGCATATAGCACAGTTTCCTCAATTAGCACTTCATGCTTATTCTGACATTGACACTTTAGCATTTTCTTGCACTGATTAAAGGGTTGTGGGTAAAACTATTAAGAACAAACTTCACGTTTTTGGATAAACAGTGTTTGTCAGGCTGTTTCTTCATTCTTTGTTTTGGAGACGCCAAGCACAGCAATAAAGTACATTTATACCTTAGCCCTAAGTGGGGGACATGGCCAGGTGTTTCTACGCTGGATTTCCTTACAAAGGGGGAAGAAACAGAATTTAGTCGAAAGAGCTTATCTTCTAGTTCTGTAGAACAGCTGATGAAATAGGCCATTTCCGAGTTACTTTCCATTACTCTCGCCTTCAAAACGAGGCTAAGTGCAAAAGCTTTCTTGTGAAAAAGGATCTTATTTGCATGAGAATGCACTTAGCCTCGTTTTAAAAGAGAGGCCCTGAGCAACTCGGAAATGTCTATTGCAGATATTTAGACCTCCCCACATGACTACCTACAAGTTTTACCTGAAGTAGACAGTAAAAATTCTTGCAACAGATTACTTATCGCGTTTGATTCTTAGAAACAGTTTTGACAGGTTTAATATATTTTCCTTTTCTGAAAAGAAACGCAGGAGGTTATATGGCATGCCCAGCAGGCGATTCAAGCAGAAATTCCCAAGCTCATTCTCTTTTGAAATTCGCCATAGGGCAAGTTTCAGGTTGAAATAAAAACGTTTCACGCAAAATCTTTGTCTTCAATCGATGTTATTTTTTTATCAAGCTAAAGAATCACAGCTGAGCCACAATTTAGATTAAAATATTTTACTCGAATATAGTAAACAATCGAGTGAAGCCAAATGTTTAACAAACGGCGAGACCTATTAAACCTACTTTAAATCATTTTAAGCCTGATTAAGAGTCAATGTTATCTCATGTCAATTACAACTACTAAAACTTGTGTGTTTTCCTCTTTAAATTGAAATCTTTATTTTTTCTCGTTTTCATGCTTGTCTGCGGCGGCCTGAGCACGTGGAGCGAAGTCTCCTTTTTTAACTTCTCCGCCATGTTTTTTGGCCTCGGCGCTCTGAATACGCGACGCATCCTCTTTAGTCATCTCTTTCTTTGGTGTTTCAGACGTCTTATTTCCTTGCGGGTCCATTTCTGTTGACGAAAAGTGTTCTGTACGGGATATAAACAAAGTATTATTAAAAACTTTAACTGACCGTCTGGTCCATGCATGCACATAATGTAAGATCAACTATAATTATAATATTAAAAATAAACTCGAATTGTTCCAGTTTGTCTTTGATCACGAAAGAAAAAAAGTTTCTTATAAGAACTGCCTGTTGCTTGGTCTTCAATTTATTATTAATCTTTTTTCATTAGGTGTGCTTTGAGTGGATTGAGAGCGACTTTGCTCTTGGCAAATCAAGAAATTGTAGCAAAACTCTTTTGCACATAATCAAAAACACCTCAAGCTTGAAAATGCAATGGTCGACGGGCATATAATTGAAAGTTGGATTTTAAAAATTATTGTTTCGAAAATAGCCGCTCAGTGATTCAATTAAAATGCGCGTTGGCAACTTTGACTTCAGTTCACAAACTCCGATCGCGGGTAAACTCAGTTCTATCAAACCAAAAACAGAAACATAAATTAAGAGTTTAAAACTAATTACCTCCCACAAGTTGAAAAAGGATAACTTTTTCACCCTTTTCTTTTGTACTTATCGTCAAGCCTCTGTCTACAGTTGTGTGATATTGGAAAGGTGTACTCCTTTCAGTGCAACGAACTCAACCGGAGCCACCAGAACATTAATCGTCCTATCACAGATCAAGTTTACAACAAAGGATTCCAGGGCGGTAGCCAGTATGAGGCAAACAGAGGCCCTTGCCTCAGTCATTTAAGGTTTGATCCCAGTGTTTTGTTTAAACTTAGTCATCATAAAGACCCTATATTATAGCTAGGCGGGGAATTCAACCATGTTATATTGATTCAGTCCTTATTTTTTTCTGGTTACGGCCGTGGATTATGACATATTTTTAAGAGTTCGTTAGCCAATCCAGCGCCGCAGAACCGAAATTTCTTTAAATTTCAAAGTTACGGTGGCCCCGGTTAAGTTCGCTGCAAAGCAATTTCTCCTTTCATCCTAAAAATCACCTCAAAATGTAATTCTGCCTTTTTAGTAAACAGAAAAAAGTTATATCGTGAAAATTTCTTTGATGAATTTAGCGAGGCAAGTTTTCTTGTACTTATATGTTTAATAACGCTGAGTCAAATTCTCTGAAAAATGCATGTGTAATTTTAAGTTTCTTTATTTTTCAAGTTGTTTTGTTTTCTCTTTTATTCTGTGTCTTTTCTTGGAACATCATGGCCACGTGGACCACCTGCGATTTCGTGAATGAAAGATTTAAATATTCCCCTTGGTCATTATCAGTAATCAGAAGGGCGGGGTTTAAGCCTCCAAATGTTACATACTCTTATCGAAAAAACAAAGTATACGATAAAAAATATCATAAAATATCATCTATTGCCATTTGTCCCGACCACCCCACACGTGCTGGAAGTCAATTAAAAAATTCTTAGAAAGGCTCGTTTATCTTAACTAAACAGGTCACTCGAGTGGTCCACGTGTGATTCTTGGAAAAACGTCAAGAACGGTCTTAATCCTACACGGGGGTGTCCCCCTGATCCTACAGGATCCAAAACAGGACTACAAAATTGCCTCGATAAACTATCTTCATTCTGTACTTCATGGATGATGAAAATCAATCCCAAGAGAACAAAAATTATGGTTTTTCAGAAACGTGCGAGAAAAAAATGCTGATTTTCACTTTCTCATAGATAGTCAAATAATTGATGTTGTACAAGAGTACACTTACTTAGGAATTCGAATGTCCTCATGCATCGAGAAATTTTTCAGTGTCACCTGAACATCTCAAGGAGAAAGCTCTTCATGCCCTCTTCAGCTTGAGACGACACACGAATCTTAGCAAACTAAAAGCAGCTCTCGTCTGTAAAAAATTTGATAATATGATCTCCCCTATTCTAACATATAACAGTGAAATTTGGGGTGTGTGTGCAAAACCAGACGGACGGCGCACAAATCGAGAAGGCTCACCTTCAATTTTGCAAACGATACTTGGAGCTAAACAACAAAGCTTCTAATATAGCTTGTAGAGCAGAGCCTGGTCGTTTTCCTTTAAATATCACAATCTTAAAAAAATTCTCAAATACATTTTGTATATACAGTCTAAAGATGAGGAATCTCCCGTCAAACAAGCTTTTTTAATGTCATTCGACTTACACTGTAATGGTAAAAATAGCTCTCATTTAATTAATATGTCAGAATATTTTAAGCTTCCTGACTTTAACCCTGATTTATTACATATAGCCATGGTAAAAAGCTATGTAAGTTCAATGAAAAAGGAATATATCTCGTATTGGCAAAACACCCTTCAACATTCGCAAAAACTTAAATTTTATAGATCTTTTAAAACCTATCATACCTCCTCTAGCTACTTTGACTTCAACAAGAGGAACAGCTGGGAGAAGGGCTTTAGTAAAGCTATGAATAAGCAATCACAAACTAATGATAGAAATAGGCAGATACAATCAAACTACGAAGGATAATAGGCATTGCCCTTTTTGTGGATGCAATGTGATAGAAGTTCACTTTCTTTTTCAATGTCCTACATACTCTATGATTAGGAATAAATTTTACTATAAAGTCAAGACTCTGATTCCAAATATTACCCAGTTACCTATAAACGGTTTGATCAATGAACTGATGAACTCTTCTAATTACTTTATCAACATACAAGTCATAAAATATATTTCAGCTTGTTTTGATGTTCGTAACAAATTATTATCAAAGTAACGAACTTGCCCTGTGTTGTAATTTTGATTCCTAAACATAGCTTTTGCCATACTGTATGTGTTTGTATGGTCATGCAAATAAAGCTCGTTGTTGTTGTATCTGAATACAAAACTAAAAAACCGTAGAGGGCCTCAATAGGCCTTATTTTGGTGGTTCATCTGAAAGAATAAGTTATCTCCCGATTACCCTGTAGTGGAGTTGACCGATTTATTGTTTCTTCTGCATAAATTCACTGAAGACTCTGATCCGTACCTGTTTTTCAAAGTCAGTTCTTTGCTTCCTTTTCTAGATTTTACGTTTTTATTCCTTATAAACCTGAAAGACAGGGGCACCCAACGGCCGAATGTTTCCATATACGCCAGAGGTGTCTCAAATGGTTTTCTCCTAGCTTTAGAAACCAGTTTAATTTATAGAGTTGCACTAAAAACTGTTTATCTGTTCGGATGTCTTAGGGGAACTTTGGATGTCACAAAAGTCTTTAATAGGTGGCTTTTTCGTCTCATCCGAAAGTGTTAGCTACCCTTAACCTTATGGATCCGGTAGAAAGTCTGAGGACATGAAGTAGCCTTGCTTTCATTAGTAAATTATATGGGTCATTTTGTCTTTATACCGAAATTTGTAGGAGACTTTTCTTGACAATTATCGCAATACCTTGGTATTAAAATGTGAATAACACAACCTCCGAAAATCGCAGTTAGGCTACTAGAAAACCTCCCAAAATTTAAGACAAATGGAACGGTTATCCAGAAATTTTTAGCTTTTCTCAAGCTTTAGAAATTTCTCGGCAATATGTGCTCCTTCGAACAGTTATTTGACAGAAACAAGTCGCTGGGTGCCCCTGGAAAAAGGGAACATTGGTTCCAACGACAATTTAGATACGGTTTGAAATCGCCGCTTTGAACAGTTACCGAACGCCGAATGACTGTGCAAGATTGGTGAATAAAAAAGTAGTGAATCTAGACAGGAAAAACTTTCAAGGAACTTGATTCACTTACACATGTATCTTGTAGTTTTCTGACCCTATGTTTAATCACTAAAACTTGGGATTCATTAGGCATTCCCTGCCGGTTTGAAATCCAAACTTGCTTTAATCAGCATTTTCACATTGACTACAATGAGTTGACAAAAACACCTCGGCTTTCACCTTGTAACATTGGGCAAACTACTGAAGGTAAAGACTTCAGAAAATTGTATTTTTAGGAATGCGTATGCTGTAATACATTGAAGATTATTCCAGTTTTTAACACTTCTGATCAAAGTCATGTTCACGAAAGTGTATTGTACTATTCTTCTAGTTGCATTTGCGTGTAGAGGGAGCCCATGGCGGCTATGGCTGGGTCCTCGATGAAAATACGATTCGATTAAGTCCTACCTACATATCTCAGTAACATGAACATGTTTAAATATAAAACGAACAATGGTTGAAGTACCTCGAACAAGTTGAATTAAGCTGTGTTCTTCGACTTGTTTCCTTCGTAATATCTTCACGGTGCTGCGTCGGTTTATTCGTTCGGAAGGGTGCTCCGTTTTTATACGGTTATATTATCTATTTCCGCGAAAAGTTACGTCATCATACAATTATAACTTTTCTTAGAAAGGATCGGGCTTCTTGGAAATCTACGGGTGACACTCAGGCGGTGTGCGTAACGACCCACAAAGGTTCGTGGGTAAAACTGCTTAAGAGCTAATGTCTGTAATTTTCGAGAATCGGTTGACAGTCGTGAATTTTTGAATTTCTTCATATTTTGCTCAAATAATCTCTATAGTACACTTATTTAAAAAATGACGTTAAAACTTGTAACAGCTTTTTATTATTTCAGGAATCGGGCAAAGTTTCGAGTATGAAATTAGCGAAAATTGAGCATTTTCTTCGCGCTCGTACATAAAAACGGAATAATATCTCTAGATGAAATCAAGTCACAAAACAGACACACATTTTCAGTTTATAATTCAGCAGTTAACTTTAAACAAACCGTTTAAATGTGACCGTACCGGCCGCAAGAAGAAACATGGTTTGAGCACTTTTCAAAAATGGCAAATTTGACCTAACTTCACCATCGTAAAAACCCAGTTGGTACACGGAATTTCAATATGAAATAGGGACTGTATTGAAGCATATCCTTTGCTGTTGTTTCTGTTAAAATATTTCTGGCGGCATTCCAAATGCGCACCGTCGAGAGACCAAAGCCCTGAAGGGTATTTTGACATCAGCAAAGCGCGTGCAACAAGTAAGTTTCAACGCTTGGAATATTAATCCTTCGCAAACGTAAGTTACTTCGAA